GCTTTTGGGTTTTGTTTGTGCATGGTTGGTGTCGCATGTGCAATGTGTAATTAATCGGGAGGTCCAAGACTACACCTGCGGTCCTTGGTGTCTGCTCTTGCTCATTTCCGTCACTGCATGTTATGATATATTTATTTTGTTTATTTTAGTCATATATATTAAGATGTTGATAAGGATATAGATAAAGTTCTGTCTGTTTGTATATATACCTATATACATATATATTCATGCACATACATATATAAATACACATGTAAATTTATATAATATGCAATATTATGTGATGTATGGAAGTGCTTTTTGTTTTTTGTTTTCCTTTTTCCCATTTATTGTACAAACATTATTTTAAACTGTGTAAAGGCTCTTGGTGAGGGAGAATGTTTCACCCTAATATATTATGGGTGTTTTTAGGATTGTTAGCTAGTTTTTGTTTGTATGGAAGAGAAGGGCTTCTTCGTAGATTTTATTAGTGCGTGTTAGTATGATATATTGTAGTAAGAGATTATGATGATAACATTTCTTTAGAATTAGTGCCATTATTGTGATAAATGTTTTATTCCATTACTGTTATCTTTACTTTTTTAGGTTTATTGTTATTATATTTACTGTTATTACTGTTAACACCACTAGCAGACCACTACTACAATATTGCTACTACCATAACAAATACTGCTACTACTTCTACTATCACAGTCAGCCATTGGATATATACCTTTGTTGGGATTACTATTTGAACATCTAATATTTTAAGAAATGCTATCATAAACATGGGGAATATTAGATTTATGAATTTAAGATCTGCAACAGGGAAGTCTTAATGACAAATAGGATATTTTTCTGTTGCATATGTCATGCTAAGGACCACATATTCATAATGCTGTTTATGTTGATAATCGCATAATGATTTCCCGTATGTGTTCAGTCCTAATGTTTTTGCTGTAAAAGTTTTTGATTCATTGTATTAGTTGTGAAATGTGTACTATGTGTGTTTACATATCTGAGTGAGTGAGTGAGTGAGTGAGTGAGTGAGGGGGAGTGAGAGAAAGAGAAAAAGAAAGGGGGAGTGAGAAAGAGAGAGGGGTGAGTTAGAGAAAGAGAAAAAGAAAGGGGGAGTGAGAAAGAGAGAGGGGTGAGTTAGAGAGGGAGAGAGGGAGTGTGAGAGATAGGAAGAGATAGAGAGAGAGAAAGGGGTGGGAGAGTGAGAGGAAGAGAGAAGATGGAAAGAGAGAGAGAGAGAGATGGAAGGAGTGAAAAGAGAGAGAGAGATGGAAAGGAGTGAAAGAGAGAGAGAGATGGAAAGAGTGAAAGAGAGAGAGAGATGGAAAGGAGTGAAAGAGAGAGAGAGATGGAAAGGAGTGAAAGAGAGAGAGAGATGAGGATGAGAGAGAGAGTGAGGAGTGAAAGAGAGAGAGATGGAAAGGAGTGAAAGAGAGAGAGAGATGAAAGGAGTGAAAGAGAGGAGAGAGATGGAAAGGAGTAAGAGAGTAGAGGAAAAGGAGTGAAAGAGAGAGAGAGATGGAAAGGAGTCAGAGAGAGAAGAGAGGAGATGGAGAGAGAGATGAAAGGAGTGAAAGAGAGAGAGAGATGGAAAGGAGTGAAAGAGAGAGAGAGATGGAAAGGAGTGAAAGAGAGAGAGAGATGGAAAGGAGTGAAAGAGAGAGAGAGAGATGGAAAGGAGTGAAAGAGAGAGAGAATGAGTGAGAGAGAGGTGACGAGAGAGATGGAAAGGAGTGAAAGAGGAGAGAGAGAGATGGAAAGGAGTGAGAAGAGAGAGAGAGAGAGAAAGAGTGAAGAAGAGAGAGATGGAAAGGAGTGAGAGAGAGAGAGATGAGTGAAAGAGAGAGAGAGAGAGAGAGAGAGAAGAGAGAGAGAGAGAGAGAGAGAGAGAAGAGAGAGAGAGAGAGAGAGAGAGAGAGAGAGAGAGAGAGAGAGAGAGTGAGAGAGAGTGAGTGAGTGAGTGAGAGAGAGTGAGAGAGTGAGAGAGAGAAGAGTGAGAGAGAGAAGAGAGAGAGAGAGAGAGAGAGGAGAGAGAGAGAGAGAGAGTGAGAGAGAGAGGAGAGAGAGAGAGAAGAGAGAGAGAGAGAGAGAGAGTGAGAGAGAGAGAGAGAGGAGAGAGAGAGAGAGAAGAGAGTGAGAGAGAGAAGAGAGAGAGAGTGAGAGAGAGAGAGAGAGAGAGAGAGTGAGAGAGAGAGAGAGAGGAGTGAGAGAGAGAGAGAGTGAGGAGAGGAGAGTGAGAGAGAGAGAGAGAGAGAGAGAGAGAGAGTGAGAGAGAGAGAGAGAGAGAGAGAGAGAGAGTAGAGAGAGAGAGAGAGTGAGAGAGAGAGAGAGTGAGAGAGAGAGAGAGAGAGAGAGAGAGAGAGAGTGAGAGAGAGAGAAGAGAAGTGAGAGAGAGAGAGAGTGAGAGAGAGAGAGAGAGAGAGAGAGAGAGAGAGAGAGAGAGAGAGAGAGAGAGAGAAGGAATCCTAAGAGCTGTCTTTGAAATGTGAATGTGATTCTTGTTGTCACTTGGCTTGGTCTAGTTGCTTGTAGCACTGTAAGTTAAAGGAAATAATAACTTTCCTTTACTATGAGTTTGCATTTTAATAGAATGATTAGTTGTATCATAGTAATCTGTATAGGAAGACACTATAACTATATGCATACTCACATAAGCATACATTTCTATTTTTACTTGATTTCTTTTCTTTATTTCTTTCATTCTATTGTCTCCTGTTATTTTTTCTTTTTTGTTAATGTTTTCCTTCCTTTCTTATTTTTCCTTTCATTGATCCTTTCTTTCAGTGTTTTCTTCTTTTCTCCCATTTCTTTTACATTTGTTTTCTTTCTTATGACTCAGTTTTATTTATCATTCAGTCTTTCTTTTTATATCTCTTTTTTCTTTCTTCTGCAGTTACCTTTCCTATTTTTCATCCTTTGTTCCTTCCTTCTCATCTTTTTTTCCATTCATCTTCCTATTTCTTTTACTACTTAGTAGATTGTAATCCAACTGCCCCTGAGTGCATCCAATCCCTCTTTCTCCACTTCCTCCTCCTTCTGCTCCTTCCCCTCCTACTGTTCCTCCTCCTACACCATCCCTTGCTCTTCCCCCTCCTTCTCTTTCTATTGCTTCATCCCCTTCTACTCCTTCTTAGGCTCCTCCTTTTCTTGTTTCTCCTACCCCTGCCCATACTGCTTGTGTTTCTGTCTCTCTTTCCTCTCCTCCTGTTGCTCTCCCACCTCTAGCTCCTCCCTCTCCTATGGTTTATGTTGCTTCTCCACTTGTTGCTCCTCTCACCCTACTTCTTCTTTTTCATCTCCTTCCTGCTTCTTCTCCTGCTTCTACTCTTTTTCTCACTACCAAGGACACCCTTGTTTGTTACATAAAATTTATGGATTACCAGCAACTTCAGTGAGTTCTACTTTTTTCTTACTTTGTCTCTTTCTTCCTCCTTTCAACTAACAACAGCTACTATATATCTTTCTCTTTCTCCTTGTCTTCTTCCTCATCTTCTTCCTCTTTCTATGATTTTATCTCTCTAAACTAAGAATGTCTGTTTTCTATTGCACAAGTTTTCAAAAAAACAGAAACCACATTGCACGCCTTCCCCTACTATCCTTGGCAGGGGTGTTCGTGTCTGATGCGGTAAGAATCTTTGGCCGCAACATCCTGGTCCTGTTTAAGCTGATCCTGCTGGAGCGTCGCGTGCTCTTCTACCACAGCCCTGTCGGCCCCCTAGTGCGCACTATCACTTCCCTCCTGGCCCTCTTCCCAGAGAACTTCCCGAATGGCTTGGCACATGCGGCTTCCCTCAGGTGAGTTGTTTATAGTATGTTCTCCAGGGGTTTTGTTGGGTTTAAATGGAGTTCAGTTGGGTTCACTTCGATTCTCTCGGTTCATTTGGGTGCTTCTCTGGTTTCATCTGGGTGTTAGGGTTGAGAAATTAAGGTTTTCTCTGTTCTCATCCCATCATTAGAGGGAAAGTTTCTTATGCCTGAGTAATGAGATTTTGATAGAGGAGGAAGTTTAAGTGGTGCTTTGTCGGGTTCCCAGGTCAGTTGTGTGTTAATAAATTGCCAAGTAATTTGATTTTTTCTTTTCTATATAAGTTTATCTTAGTAAATTATACTTTGTTTTCAATATTATTTGCTTTGTTTCATTTTAAAAAATGAATATAGAATTGGCATCTTTAAATTATTTTATATTTTGAAGTAAAAATCAATTAAATCATGATTGCAGCGATGAATGCAAAACCAGATTAGCCTTTGGTTCTGATGATCGTGCAACCTATGATTATAAGTCTCAGTTGTCATAGATGAAAAAGAAAAGAGATGGCTCTTAGGCATGCCCTGATTTTTCCTACACATGATTGATGGCACTGCCAGGTCTCGAGGGCTGCTTGGCCTTGCCACCCTGCAACCCAGTCCCAATGAAGCTGATTATATGGAAGTGTGTTATGCAGAGGACGCCCTGGCTGCTCGGGTCTCCAGGTAAAGCAAAGCAGAGTCGCCAAATTTCGCCCTGGCCCTTGGATGCATGGAATTAAGCTCTGCCCCTTTTTGTCTGTGATGTGGTTACCGTTCGAGACTAAAAAAATATATATACATCTGTAACATGCTTCATCAGTGTGAGAGCGGGACTATGTACTGAGTTGTGCACAGTGGAGCTAAAACAGTTGCAGCAGTTAGCCTGCTTTCTTTATTCTCTCTTTTTTTTCTAACACAGTATTAATAATTGTGGTTATGTGGTATTTAACAGTGTGATATTGAGGAGGTGTAGAGTTACATGGGGTTGGTAGCTGTAGAGTTGGCAAGCTGTGGTATTATGTCAAGGCTTTTAGCTCAGTCTTCCTTTAACAGTGGTGGTTCATGCCTTTCTCTTAGTTCACATAACACTGTATAATTGGTCACTAACACTGGTATGGTCTTTTTTTACTCTATTTAACACTATTTTCAGATTGTGCTCATGCTTTATGACATATTGCAAACTGCTTCACATTCCACAATATCACAGAATTTATCATGAGCACTAGCAGCTGAATTTTCCACATATCTCATCACATATGTTATCCATTTTCAGTGATGCTGATTCTGTGTGTGTTGAACCTCTCTTGTTTTGTTAGATTCACAGCCTTGAATCATGAGTATTTACTAAAACATGTTAAGAAGCTAGCATTAGTGAATGGAAAAAGGGAAAGAAAAGTAAACAAGTTCCTGAATTTACTATCCACATGAATTATTGGTGTTATGGATAAATAGCTTTAGATGAAGTTTATAGCTGAATCCTTGCTCTTTTTGTTGAGGTACCAATGAAAATGATAGGAAACTTACTCTTTTTAAAATAGTTTTGAAAAAACTTTCCTATCAGCCAGTCATTCAGTGTTCAGGACTGCACAAATTATGAGGATATTTTGTGGTAATGAAAGATATATAAACCCATTATGAGACATCACCTGTTGTCTTATTATTTGTCATGCGATGTAGCATCACCAATTCCCAATAGTTTTAGATATGCAGTCTTGGTATATTTATTTTCAGTGGTTTATCATATTTTTTAAAAGACAGAAAGTAGAGCAAATATAACTAGAGTTGTAAAAGAATTTTTGATTACATAGAATAATGTCTACTGTCCTTTTTTGAATCTTCTGTTGATTTTTTTTATATATATTCAGTTAATTAGAATTTTGATAAGGCCAGAAAAGAAAGTCTTCACACGAGTCAGATATAACTGGTTGATTATGAATATGGTAATCGATAGGGATCATTTCAGCGAAGTCAGGTGAGGATGAGCATGTGCTGCTTTGTGCTGCTCTGTGTCTGAGATATCGTCTTCCTCATGATAGGGTGTGTAAGAACTTATCCCAGTGATTCTGATATAGATTTGGAACATGGTGTGAGGCATCTACCAGAATCTGTGAATTATTTGCAGCAAACTGATAGCTAGTCACTTGTCTCCAGTGGTTTAGACAGGAGTCTCCCACTGTGTATGATATTGATTTTTCATAGTCTGTCACAATAAGTTTTTTTACATCTCCATGTGAAATATATAAGTGAATTCTATATGTAGCATTTAAAAAAAAATAAATCCTGATTCCCTTAATTTTCCTTTTTTAATTTAAACTGATAAGTTTTCCTGTGCTTGCTTTGTCCATTGAAAAATTCAGTTGTTCCTATTGAAAACCTGTTAAAGGCTTTGAACTGGTAGCAGTGGATTCTATCCATCTTCAAGAAATATAGTTTTATTCTTTTTTGTTAATATTTACTCGATTCTCAGTCAGGAAATTTGTATGTAATTCATATTTTTGTAAATATTTGTAAAATGTTTCCTAGAAAAACACTCATATGAATGTGGTAGTATTTACTATCATTGATCGATTGAATGCCTGACATGCCGACAGATAGATGGACAGAAAACAGAAAAAAAAGAAAGGAAGAGATGTCCAACGAAATTAGTTTCAAATAATGTATTACAGGTATGACGTTTATCGACATTCTTTGGTGGCTCCCACAGTGGTTCTCAGAGTAGGTACTCCCTCCCCTCTTGATCTTAGAGGGATATGAACGTTCCAGGAGAGATTCACCTTTTAGTGTTCGTAAATTGAATTTCTCATAGATATACTTGGACAAATTCTTCGGGTAAATTTTGACATTGATGAGAGGAGGACTTTGTACCATAGAATAGAGAACCTGTTGCTTTAAGTACAGTCATTGAATGTTGTTTATGTTATCTGTCAGTGATTTGTCTTTATTAAACTGTAAGTATGACCATTTGTTATAGCCAGTAGATCTGTGTATCTATGAAGGGAAACATGGGAGTAGAGTGTGTATATTACTCTTGATGTGGGATGTATGCAGGCTAAATGTACTGAATTGACTAGTAGGAATCTTTTCATGTATTACACATTTCTAATGAATCTGATATGAGTATTTATCATCATGTGTAAGTTACAGATGACATTGAAAAAAGGAGGAGGATTGATGTGTCCTTTGTTTCAGAATTTTCGTAGTGGATGATTTAATGTTTACAGTCCCATACAGGTTACAAATAGCATTGACTATTCACTTCTGTAATGTGGGAATTTCGTAGCTGTTGAGGTATCACTTTAAAAGATGCTTTGATGCGATCAGAACATTCATGAAACAAGTCCTAGGCAAATCCTCTCAGGCATTTATAATAACCATTGTGTCATGTATTACTCTCCATAACTAATCATTCAAATATAACTTGTACTGTTATGTGTCAAAGACCAGTAATTGTTTCTCATTATTATAACCCTTGCAATCCTTGCTGTCCTTACAGCATCAGCAACTGTATAGAGTCTCCTCAAATGTTAAAGGCTATATGTAGTGGTTTGATCCTCATGGAAGGCAGCAGGACACTAAATCCAGTAGCAGAAAGGATAATATTTGTTATACATGGAAGTGATAAGAAGGGGATCCTGCTTCCAGTTGATTGATTCTCCTGTATTATGTACACTTATTTCTGTATATATTGTTATAAAGGGAATAGATAACCTGTGTATGGTATTACATATACCATCATGTTTAGTGTGTATAAGTTACTTGACTACCATTATTAACCTGTAGAGGTGTGGGTTGTTTACTGATTGTCTTTGTTTCGAGTTTTTCTTTAATCCTTGGTATTTTTGTGCATTATGTACCTGCTTGGGGTTATTTATATTCATGTATTTGATTATGAACACTGTGTGTGTGTGTGTGGGTGGATGGGTGCGTGCGTCCGTGTGTGTGTGTGCTTGCGTGCGTGTGTGTGACCGTGTGTGTGTGTGTGTGTGCATGTTCGTGAGTTTGACTGTGTGTGTGTATGCATATATTTAGCCATCTTTTATTGCATGTAAGAGTGTGTAAACAAGTGTTTGACTAAATTTTTGAACACCATTTCTTTTTATTCACCTTTTATTCTGATATATTTCACAAAAAACAGCTGATCCATTATTTAAGAGATATGACAAAGGATATTAAGCTACAGTTGAAATTATTTTTGTAACAGCAATGAGGCGGAACCAGGAGAGTCAGAATTGGTTGGGGACGCCCTGGACAACGCCTCGGCACACAGTGGAGAGGTGTGCATGCAAGTCGCAGAGATGGCAGCGGTAAGTAGTCAGGAAAGCAAAGAGGTAGTGTTGTTAACCCCTTTAGTGATATGGGTATAATTTGACATGCAGATGTTGTTAGATTCATAATAACATGGATGTTGTTTACAGTGCAATTCTTTTTACAAAACCTAGAATTCCTCTTGGATTGTGACATAGCTGTGCACTACACAGAGCTTTTCTTGTAAAATGACAGCAATATTATGTTACCAATCTTCATCAATATAGCTGAAAATGTTGGAGAAAAAGCAGTACCATAAATGCTTCGTTACTAATGATTTCATGACTCAAAATGAGCAACATCGGTCTTGTCAATCATACCTGACCCTCTCAGGCAGTGTCACTTTACAGAGGTGTCCATATCTATATATCAATATTTATTTCTAAATTATACTTATATCTATATCTATATCTATCTGTCTGTCCATCTAGTCTGTCCATCTATGTATATATTTATTGATAAAATCTAATAATATCTCTCATCAAGTTCAGTTTCTAGTAAATGTCAAAAGGGGTTAAGTATGATATGACAACAGAAGCTGCCTAATAGTTGTTCAGTCAAGAGGTGTTTGTTTTTGTTTATCAGGAAGATAAAGAAGTTGTTATTGGTACTATGACTTGGTGAAAGGACACTGCCAGGAATAAAATGAACTTCAAATAGAAATGCCGTTTCTCATACAGACTATTGTAAAATAATTTGTCTGATTGTGAACTATGTGTATGCACATGTGCCATGAAAAGGAATATTCAGAACTGCTGAAAATGTTATTTAGATTGAGGCCATTGCAGTTAGTTAAAGAGAAAAGAGGAAGGAGATGTGTTTGAAGATAAATGTAGCCTCAAGTTAGAGCTTTTAGTGTATGAGTTTAGAGGTAGTAGTGTCAAGAACCAGATTAACTTGAGGCATTCTCTCAGGAGGCCGAGTCCCTTGGGGAGAAGAAAGGAAGTAACAAAAACTTAGAGAAGATGGAGGTGTCTGATCTGGAAGATGGAACCGAACCCACCAAGATTATTAACGTCACCAACGAAGAGAGCCTGAACCTCATGGGGTCCCCTCCAGATGCTGTTGGTATGTTAACACATAGATTGATCCTCTATTACAGCCAAGATATTTAATACATAGTGTTTATACATGTCACTGTTCCCTGTTCATTGGCAGTATTATGAGGTGGATTTGTTATATTGTTTTGGGATATATTGTTTTTCCAGTTTTGTTTTGAATTGTGTGATTATAATTGATTATATTGCATTTAAATATTGTTACCATTACATTTTTTGCACCTAACCCTGGAAATAAATGTTTGCCTTTTGTATGACAAGCAAATGAAAGCAAGAAATATTATATTTATTCATGTGAAAATGCAAGAAAGTTATGTGGATGTCTGCTGTGCTCCAGCAACAGTTCATGGGCTGAACAATATACATTTCATATACCAAAATGCTGCTCTAAACTTTTCACTAGTATCATCTTTATTCTTCTCTAGTTTTTAAATTGTTACAATAGCAGAGTTGCGTTTCGTCCCAGATTGCTACATTCATATCTTGAGTTTCCATAAGAACATTGGGATTCATGAATACAGTCCCATCATAGCTAATATAGATATGAATCAGGGCTCATATCAGAATGTGGGAATTGTATTCCATGAGAGGTGCATTTTTACAGTAGTCTTGGAAAGGGGAAAAAGTTTTCTATCATAGTGTTTCAGTTTAGTCTTTAGGGTCAGTTAGATTATGTAATGGAGATGAAATAAAGATTTGCACAAACGGAACGAGCACCAGACAACAAAACAACAACAGTGTAACCCTTCTCTGCCCTCTCTCAGCATCGCCCTCAGATGACCTGAGTGAGAGACGGAGTAGCAACTCGAGTCTCACGTCAGTTACCTCCCGTGGCTCCATCATGTCACCCCCGGAGTTCAACGGGGGAGCGGGAGGCACCTCGGCAGCAAACCTGACCAGCAAGATGGTATCACTAAAGGGCCGACTGAGTGGGGTCTTCAACTACTGGACTGGGAGGGAGAAGTCACCCACACAGGAAAAGCCTTGTGAGTTGAAGGTCTAGTTTGTTGATGTTAGTCTAATTTATTCTTGTTATCATCTTCAATATTATTATTGTTTTTATCATTATCATTTACTTTTATTTATTTTTATTTTTGTTATGATTGTTATTGTTATTTATCATTATTTTTATTATATATTTTTTTCATTATGTTATTACTGTTATTATTATTGTTTATAGATTTGTTATTTTTTCATTATTGTTGTTACTGTTTACATTGTTCTTTATTGATTCATCATTTTAAATAAACAAGATAAATCTGTGTGCACATGTTACCCGGGATAATTGGTTTTGGGCTGCCATCCAGAAAGACCTGAAACTCCTTAACTGGCGTTGGCGGCCCACTTGGAAGTGTTGAAAGTGAATATGCATTCATGTACATGGAGATATATTTATGTATGAATACAAGTATATATATGTGAACATATTTGTCCTATCTATTTATATAGGAGTTGGCCATACACTTATTTTTTTTATCTGTCTTTAATGAACTAATTTTCTTATAAAAGGAATGTTTCTTTTTTATACATCAATGGTGCATAAGGATTTTTTTTTTCTATTTTTTCTCCAGTTATGGGATCATTTAATTTTGCTTCTTTATTTATTCATGTGGTTATTAGTGGATCATCATTGTCTTTTTTGCACATTTTTGTGGATACAACAATTATAACACAAGTACTACTATTAATAACTTACTCTGGTAATAGTAGTATGATGTAGCTGTAGTAGCAGCAGTAGTAGTAGAAAAGTAGTAGCAGTAGTAATTGGACTGGAACTAATATTAGCATACTATTATTGGTAGATCAGTGTAGCAGTGATAATGTGGTTATAAATGTAGATATAACAGTAATGAAATTATTAGTTGTAATACTTGTTCAGACCCATATAATGTTGTGAATGGATTGGAATAGATATGCAAATTGTGCTTTGATTTTGATGAGAGTTATATCAGCATACAATGAAGACAGAGGCTATGTGCTTCTTTGTTTTGAGTGATGACAGATGAATAGGAGAGAGGAATCCATGTTGGAAAGTGAATTTGTTATTATAATGTCACTGGTGTTTTCTTTTCTTGTTTTTTTCTTTTCCTTTTTGTATTTTTCCCTTTTTCACATATCATTTCATTTCCAAAGCTAAGACTTTCTAAAAAGGACTGTTATATATTAAAAGTTTTAAAATTTCATCCAAAAGATTGATTAGTGACCTCATCTTGTGCAGATAAAAAAGGGAATACTGGCTCATTGATTTATCATGTAGGTTTCCCATTCTTAATTTATTAGGCATGTTTCCCAGCCTCATAAAGCAAACAATTAGGTTCACTTTGCCCCATTATCTGTGATCAATCAGTTGACCTCCTCTTACTGTGATCAGGAAGAAATAGTAATAGATTCATACACTTATATCTAGAATGCCACTCCACTGCCAAGAGATTCTCCAGTCTTTTGTGTTTCTTTTTTATAGCATGTTTTTGGGAAATTGTCGAGATTGGTGTATATACACAGCTACTTCTTTCATCTTAGTGGGCTTGAATCATAAGCCCTTTGTGACCTTTTATTAGAATATACAACACACTCAGGTAAGAAACTCTTGCTCTGTTTATACTGAGCCTTGCCTGAACTCGCGTTAGGTACTTCGCTGCTAGTGTGACATGCTTGAGTTCAAGAAGGGCGGCTTTTGTAATGACAACATGAGCCCCTGTGTCAGAGTGACAAGCTTAGGCATCAGCCTGGGTTGGTGCTGTGATCTGGCATGACTAGCATAGTGAAATAATAACCGCATTAGTAATACCTGTGTTTGAGAGTGTACCTAGTGCTCATGTGAGCTGCTGCAATTGTGTTTAGAAAGCCGCGTGTTTTTGAAAATCTGACCAGTTTCTTTTTTAAGGAAACAAACCCAGCTGATGACATAATGAGAAATAAAGAGGCAGATGGATAGGCAGTATGATTGTAGGGAAGAGAGATTGAATAGTGAGTCAGTCAAGATGGTGTAAAGAAATTTCTATACACTGATTCTTCTGAAGCTCTGTTTAAGGCAGAAGTTTTCACTAGTATAAATCTTCACTAGTGATATTGATTTTCCATATTTTGATCTTTGACAGAGCATGAGGGGAAAAAAGACTTATTAACCCATGGAGAATCCCTTCAGTGAGTTTGTAAAAATGTAGGAACATGAATGAAGAGAAAAGCAAGAAAACAGACAAGACAATACCTAAGAATTCATCAGAGATAATAGCTTTTTCCTTAACCTCATGGCTGTGTTTATCTACTGTCCACTGTGGTATTTTGTGAATTTCACTGCACCCAGAGGCCTCCTCAAGAGCTGAGCTGCCAAGGAGTCATTTAGTTAGCCTTATCACTGCTTGATTTCCTCATTCCTTGACTTTGTGGGATTCTTTTCCCTAATGCTCTTAATATCAATACTGTTTGTATTGTTATTGACGTTATGATTATTGTAATGTTATTAAGATATTGTATATAGCAGCACATAGCCTCAACTAGTCTTGTGGTTAGTTCATCAGTGATGCGACCAGAGAATTGGAAGTAAATAAAAGCCTGTATAATTGCAGATGAAGGAAAGTTACAGTATATAATTGCAGATGAAGGAAAGTTAGAGTTGAACTAAAACAACACATTCAGTGATAAACTATAAAAGTAATTCACCATAATTACATTGTGAATGCAATGACCATTATGTATTGTTGTATACTATACTTACTATGTTTTAGCAGTTGATGCCATTCAACTTTATTTAACTTTTGTGTTGTATGTAGGGAACCTGTACGGTCTACTGAATTGACGTTTGTTGAAATGTTCCCAGTCCAAAAAGGTGAATTTGCATTGTCTTATATATTCTGGTTGAGAGTATAGCCTAGCTCTGCATATACACTTTTCCAGAAACATACCTGAATGGTCGTATTCCTGGTTAGGTTTGATTATAGTATGCAGAATATAGCAATTTGGCAATTTGCAGCTGCTTTCTTACAACTGGAAAAATAATTCAGCTTCATTATGTATTATGGACAGATACTGAAATGGGTATTGGAATTATGATTATTGTTATTCTCCTATTCCATATATATTATTATATCAGATATGTTAGTCTATCATGCATCTAAATGATGGTGAAGGTTGAGCATGTGCTAACAGCTGTTTGCATGAGTCATGGTAGCAGCAGAGCACTCATTGATATTCTCAGCACATGTGAGGAATCAGATGAAAATAGTAGTTATAAACCCTCTGAGAAGGACTTTTATCCATGGCATATGGAGCTATGTACTGGGCACTATATGCAATCAGCTGCTCAGTTGAAAAATTTGAAGCACAGAATACTTTTTTTTTTTCTTTTGGCTGCATCGTATATAATCCTTCAACAAAAGAGGCTATAAAGAGACTGAGCCTTTTTTTGAGGGATGTACCTCCTCATTGATCGTAGTTTGGGCTAAACAAGTAAATAGCTGTCTAGTGTACACAGTACAGAACAAATTCAACTGTGTATGTTATGGATACTTATCACCACCTTTAACCATGAGTTAATGGTGATAGCCAGAGCTGAGAAACTTTTTTTTTTCTCCTTTTTTTCACAAAAACTTCCTCTTGGGAATTATGTAAATTTAATCAACAGATAAATCTAATTCATAAGTAGTTCTGACAAAATATGTCAGAACTGTTGCATAACTAATGTTTTTCTTGTCTTTTTCTCTCCCTTTCATTGATTTATTATTCTTTCCATTTCTCTCTCTGTCTCATTCATTCATTTACTCTCTTTCTCTCTCCCTTTCTTTCTCTTTCTTGATCTTTTTTTCACCTGCAGCCTCATCCACTGTGTCTCTTTAGAGATGGTGAAATAGCAGTTAAACGCAACAGACATGACTGAATCACTGTCAGTTACCTGATGTGATGGTACCAAAGCTTTCCATACATTTCTGGAATGTAGATTTGTTTCTGTGGCCTGGTGCACGTCAAGGGCGATTTCAGAACCATGTGACAGATTGATTTTATTTGAGAATTATTAAATGATACCAAATAATTGATTTTAGCAAAATAAGAGGGGGCTGGCCAACAATATTTATCTATCTAAGGTATGTTACCCCATGTCTAGGTAGGTATACAGTTAAAGAAATATCCACATGTAGTAAAAGAGTGTCTCTAATTACCCAACTCAGGACTGATACTGTATGTGGATATAAGGTTTATAATGTATAATGTTATAATGTTAAAATGTAGGTATAACATGAAAAAAATCCTATCATTTTTTAGTGTAGTAAATTGTTTAACTCTTGTGTTAATTTGAGATGCAGTCCATCACAGTTTATTTGAGAATTACCTTAAATTTCAGGTCAACTGATATCAGAATTTTTTCCATTCTTTCAAAAGATTGATATTAATTGTTGAAGTTTAGGTGGAATTGCCCATTCTAGTCTTTTATCTCAAAAGAGAGTATTGTATTTGTGAATTCCAGATAGAATTACCACATTAGGTATTGTCCTGTCAACATGGTCCTGTTCCTTCACCATAAACATGTGGGAACTTTACCAAAAGTCAGATCAAAAGAATAAAATTGAAAAACCTTAAATTACAGGTATTTTCTGACCAATGTCTTTAAGACCTTTTTGAATTGGACATTGTGGGAATTGAACATTTTACAATTTCAGTGTTATATGGGCATACTGAATACTGTAGTTAATAGCAGTAGTTTTCCAGTATTTCGTATAATTTGTTGTGGTATTAAACTGTATAAAAGTTGAGTAAATGTTGCCAAATATAGTAGTTAATTTCACACGCTATAGAACTTTTCCAGTCTAAGCATTGTATAGCTATATAGTATAGTATTTATTACAGAAAGAAAAAAAAATACAAATCTGTGTAACTGAACAAATTTGTAAAAAAGACCCTTTGAAAGGACAGCAGAATTTTCTCAATGAAGATTTATTTTTTGACATTGTTTGAAGACCATGAAATGGGATATTTTTAGAAAATGAGAAAATGTATATTTTTCTTTAGACTGTTTATTAAAAGTCATTACTTCATCAGTAATTCGAAAAAGAATAAAAGAAAATGTTTTGGGCATTCTTATCTCCTAAGGACAAAGTAAGGCAGTTGTATGTGTGTACAGGTTTATGTGCACAATTGAGGAAATATGGCAAGAATCATATTTAGAGCATATTTATCTGTGAACTTTGATCCTTTTTTAAAATTAATTAATTTATTTAATTTCTTTCTTTCTTTATTATTATTTTTTTAATGGAATAGGTGAATAGTTATGGTAATAGTACATAGTTGGCATACATTTTTGTCTTTTGCTTGTTTTTTCTTTCTTTTATAGTACACTGTTCTATATCTTTTCTTCCTTCTCTATCTCTAAAGATAAGTTGATTTATGTGACCATGGATGTAAATATGCAGTATTTAGTTGCAGTTGTTTAGATGCAAAAGTCAGATCAAAAGAATAAAACCATAAGACCTTAAATTACAAGTATTTTACGAGTTTCTGGTTGTGAGTATAGTCTAGCTCTGCATATACACTCATATATATATATACATATATATATATTTTTTTTTTATGTGTCTTTTTTTATACAACAAGGACACATCATGCAGATAAATATGTTTGATTGATAGCAAGCCTTATTTCAAAGGGGAATCCATGTGCATTGGTAACGGGACTGAAGATACTTTTATAGTGGTCTTGTTGTATCCAATCCCTTGTTTATTGGTATTAGGTTTTCAAGCAAAGTTTGATCTGTAATCTGATCCCATTGATGATTGTTTCACATGATGAAGAGAATCTGTAGATATTAAAGTGAAATTCAGTTTAAGAATGAAGATGATGATGAATTATTTACATAGGTCAGAAAAAGAACATTTTTATCTTTACCCCAGTCTCATAAGTCTCATAAGTTATGAATGTGCATATTTGTGTCAAGAAATAAAGTCTTCATAACTGGAATATTCTTGAGAGTGAGAAACCATTTCTAGCAAATGTATAAAAAAAGCTTTCCTTTCCGGTTTTTGTTAACGCTTCTGCCTGCTTACATATCTGATGAAGAATATCAGCCAGTCAATTATGAAACGTTGACTTAAAATCTAGAATTATGCAAATATGCCATGTGCTGTTACAAGAAATTGTAAAACCCATATAATGCTTATTATTTTGGGAGCTCTTGACTTGAATGGCTGGTTTGCAGGTATTTGGCTTTGTGTTTTATTTTTCGTTTTTCCTTCTTTCCTTCTTTTGTCTTTTTTCATTCTATTTGTAGTAGATAATGTATTAGAGAAATGTAAGGCTTGAAGTGTATCTATATGGCGTATTCAATATCTAGAATATAATCTCGTATCTTGTAGCTCGTGGAAGCCTTTGTTGTGGTCAGGACATTTGTCATGAAAGCAGGATATCCACAGTTCATATTCAGTTTTTTTTATTAACAATTTTTCTCCATCTGACCTAATAAGCTGCCAAACAATTCAAGTAAGACAGAAATATAGAGGAATTGATTCACATATTCATCAAGTAGCTTTATGTGGGAATGAATGCAGATGCAAAACCTTCTGTCACTCTTTAATGGTTACGGTGATGAAATACAGCATTGTAATATCATGCTGAAATAATATGGCCCAGGTGCAGAATTTGTGATCTTTGTACTAGGACTGCTTATTCACTTTTATGATATTCTCCCTTCATTCATGACACGTATCTTAATAGATGAATGGATATGTATTTGATTGCGTTTGTTACTTGAATTCAGTTGAAAGTATTTGCATCACTGATAAGGTGCAGGCTCAGCGTAAGAGCTTAGAATGCCATCAGTTCCCTCTCTTAGTCTTCCTTCCACGTTTGTTATTCTTTCTTAATGGACATTTTTCTTTCTCTCTTTTCTCCAGCCTCGACAGCAACCCCAAACCCCTCGCCAAGTGAGCCAGGTGACGATGTACCTGTCTCACCAACGTCTGGGGTGTCGCTGGGTCAGGAGCAATTCACCTCAGAGCCAGAAGCTCCCCCTATCCCCCAGCAGACGCCCCCAGAGAAATTCGCTTCTCTCATATCCTCTGACTGCGGCTTGCCGTTGGAGATATTCACAAAGGTAAGTAATATCTCTGGCATATACTGATTTATGAATAATTTTTGTCATATATTTTCTGGTCAAGTTACATATATATATATATATATATATATATATATATATATATATATATATATATATATATATATATATATATATATAAAAGCATACAGATAATTTATGAATACATTTTTTTTTTTTTTTTTTTTTTTTTTTTTTTTCCCTTTTCTTTTCTTCTCTGTGATTGCCTTCAAATATAGCACAACCACTGATATTGGAAAGGATGGAAAATCACATGTTAGGAATCATATTTAGTAATGGAACCTTTTTGATTTCAGGGCAACTTGCTCCACCCTTACCTGTCTCTGCAGTATCTAGATGTGCTGACTGCTCCAACCTCCAGAGCCTTTCTGGTGGGAGCCTCAAATGCTCTCTTTGTGCACAAGAAGCATCTGTATGATGTGCTTGTACAGGTGGGTAATTTTTTATATATATACAAACACACACATGTACACGGCACACACACGCACACATCCACACGCACACATCACACATACAACACGCACACACATCACACACACACACACGCACGCACACATCACATCCACACGCACACATCCACACACACATCCACACGCACACATCCACACACACAGCCACACGCACACATCCACACACACATCCACACACACACACACACACACACAACACACACACACACACACACACACACACACACACACACACACACACACACACACACACACACACACACACAACATGCAAACACGCACACAATGCGCGCACACACATACATGCACACACACTCACAAAAAAAAACAAAAAAACTACACACACTACACAACACACACACACGCACATGCCCTAATAACATCATGTGTGCCAAAAATGTGCATCAGTTTAAAAAGTCATATGATAATTTAGATATAGCAGACAGGAGCCTCTGAGGTTAGCTCATTTGGGGCAGCTAGGTAAAAACAGTTAAGTAAGAATGCACACATGCACATCAATACCCATGCCCCACCCTTACCACCCACACCCAATAAAGTGAGTGACTTTATACTTTACCGTATGACTGACCAGCGCGTCATATGGTACTGTGATAAGAAACAAAGCCTGAAATAAAGTAAGGCAGAATACAGGGACATCTTCAGTGGGCAAACACTTAGCTGGGTTTGCGTTGACTTTCCTTGATACCCTAAGAAGTCAGATGTTCCAGTAAAGCTTCTTGTATTTGCGGCAGAAAACCTTACTTCAATATCTTTAGGACTCAAGGCATGTGGCGGGTTATAGGTAATGCCGTCTCTTCTGCTGATGACTTGACTTCTCGAGAGATTGAGGGAGGTCATCAGGGGACAGAAGACTTGATGTGAGGTTTATTATTATAACCAGCCACATTGCTTGAGTCCTGGAGATGTTGAAGTATGGCTTCCTGTACATACTGTATGTTGTAACAGTTTTTTTTATAAATGATTTTGACTAATTGTGTGGTGGGTACAGTTTTGTTGTTAAAATTTGCAGCAAAAGCAATTTATATCTTTTTCCTTCCACAGCTTGATGAGGGCAAGATAGAGATTCCAGATCCGGAGCTGAAACGCCAGTTAAGCCTTTCTACAGAAGATTTGCGCTTTGCTGAAAATATTGTTCGCCAAGTAATTCCCTTTACCCATATTTGTTATTTGCGATGTTTTTGTGTGTGTGTGTCTGTGTCTGTGTGTTCGTGTCTGTGTGTGTGTGTGTGTGTGTGTGTGTGTGTTGTGTGTGTTGTTGTGTCTGTGTTTTAATTTGTGTATGTATTTGTATTTGTGCAAGTTTGTTTGTGAGAGTATACATAAGTCAAAATAGATAGTGTTAAATATGGTTCATATGTCTGGTAACATGCTTATATTAATTTACAATACGTCAATGGTTTTCCAAACTTCCTTGTTCTGAAAGGTTGAAGCTGTGAGTGCTACCCTGAACACCAAGGCTCCCAACGACATCTCTCCAATAAGCAACCATCCCGATGTGTTCCTGGAGGGGGTGGGTTGGGTCGGGGGAGAAGAGTGGCTACGCTATCAGTTCAAGGTTTATCTCCTGTCACTGCTGCGGTCATCTGTGTGCAGTGGTACGTTCTTGGTTGTAGGAGGACGATTATTTTGTGTTTTATTTCCCCTTGGGATAGTGTTGTGTTTTACAGTTTCGAAATTTTGAAAAATTTCATAGTTGAGATTTTTTAGATTTCTATAGATTATCACCTTGGCTCTATAGTATAGGGGTTACCCCTCATTAGTTTTTTGTTTGGAAGTTAATATGCGAGAATACTGTTTCCAAATATTCCTAAAAGATTTGTATTTAATCTTTTGGTAGGGTTTATGGTAACATACCTTTGTACTTTTCTATATTAGTTTTTTGAGTGTTTATTCTCCTCAGGATGAAATTCTCTATGGCTTAATGTTTTGATAAATGAAATATACGCATATATATTTTGAGGAAATAATTTGCAAATAAGATTCAAAGTGAGACCATGAGGAAAAAATAAGGAGAGGTGATACGTGTCTGATATATAGGACTGATATTAAATATCTGCTTTTCATAATGATGATATTTTGATAACACATTACCTTGCTCTTGCACCTCCAGAGGGTTCTCGTGAACATGAGGTCTTCAACAGCAGCTTTGTTACCTCTTGGAAAAGGAGTCATAACTACAGGGTGTGGATTGCATCTGGCACTTACCCAACGCTGATGGAGTTGATGCCCGGGCACCCTCATGCCGGAAACCTCTCCATGACTGACATGAGAATTCGGCTGTCACAGTGAGTATAGGTGTTGAAGTGGTGTTAAAGGGAAATAGTTTTTAGTTTTATTTCAAATGCGTTTATCGTTTAGAGTTCTTATCCACTAATAACTGACCATACAAGCTATAGATTTGGTCTGGAAAAGCATATTTATCCTCAACATTCTCTTCCAGCACAATCCAGGGCCTGGACAAAGGAAGACGGATAAACCAGACACTTGCCACAACAGGCACAGCAGTTGTAAAAACCAGGGAGGCTGTTGGTAAGTATAAGTAGTCGAAGAATGATTGTTTTTATATGATTTTTTAAACTTCTTTATTCATGTGATTTTTATAACTTCTTTGTTCATGCGTTTATTTGTCTTTTTCATTCAAAGAAAACTACTTCTGGATGTATTCTATTATTTAATTCACAGCTCCCTAATTATGTCTTTTATCTCTCAGGAGGCGCTCTGACATCAGCTAAAGGTGCCATCACAAACCTGTGGTCATCATTCACAGCCAACAACAACAACGCTGGCTCTGGTGACGAGTCATTCACAGATGCTGCCATTGAAGCTACAGAGTCCCAAGCCAATGCAGAGAAGCCCAAGGAAGGGGACACAGGTCAGGAATAATGTAGTTGGTCAACTCTTTTAGCACTAGCTTTTACTTTTTTTTATTGGATCAATTAGCGTTTATATTTTGGTTTCGATTTGAAGATTTCTTTCAAAAATGTTTTGTGTTTTCGTTTTGTCATAAGCAACTGATTTAACCCATTGCTGCCAGGTGGCATGTACAGGACATATATGCCATGGTATGACTGTACTCTTATCTAGGTGGGATGTTTATCCATGTAACATTCATTGAGCCAGCACTTAGTGAAAGGTTTGTGAACTAAATAGTTTTTTATGTGTTTGGCTCTGAGTACAACCATTAAGGTGAAAGAGACCCTGAAAAGTAGACAGAGAGACAGCAAGGTAATGGTTGCCAAATGTGAAATCGTTCAAAGATATTTGGGGTAAAATGAAAGTAGAAATGAAGTGTACAATTTTCCATCCCAAGTGAAGGGGTATGGGGTGAGGTAAAGGAATAGGTGGATATGGAGTACAGGGGAAGGACCACAGAGGGGGAAACTGTGATATAGAATCTGCCAATGATAGTTCCTCATTCTGGGTATGGGATTGGGCACATCTAGCTGATGTACATGATTGGTGGAAACAGGGATGGTGGTTGGGGCTACAGAATCTCTAGGACAGTATATGGTCTAAAAATAGATCCAGTACAGAATACGGGATCACTCAGCAACAACTAAAATTAAAGGGAATTATGACGCCAACGATGGCGTCACACTATGTTCCACTGGAGCTTCATGACGCCAGTGGTGTCTTCATATAAAACGGATTAAAGTCAGTTAAAGCCCTTGTTTCTAGGAAAATGGTATATTCTTCTGTTAAAATTATAGTTTTGAGAAATTGTATGTCTCCCTTGGTGCATGGACCAGTATAGTATATATAATAACCCTCAACAATGAGTTAGAATGTAGTAATTTATCATACCATTTAAGCAGCAGCAGTCATTGTAGCAGTAACAGTAGCTATAGTTTTAGTAGTAGTAGTAGGAGTAGTAGTAGTTGCAGCAAAAGAATTAGGAGTATTGGTAGTGGTAGCAGTTACAAGTGTAATAGTTTGTGTAGAAGTAATGGTATGATATCAGTATTCCTTGTTATTATACAAAGTGTCTTTACTTTTCAGCAGAAACTGCACTGGAAGCAGTAGAAGGCAGCACATCAGTGGTGAATGCTGATGAAGAATTAAGAAACAAACACAGCATGACGGGGACACTGTCTACTGTGACAAATTAATTGTTATTTGCACAAGATTATCATTATTTTGTTCACTTTTCAAGGGCTTCATGTTTATCAGTGAATTTAGATTCAGTTTGTGACCATGTTGAGGAGATTTTTATATATATTCAGCATAATGAAGTATTATTATTATAATGGATTATTTATTGATATGGTATTATATTTGTATTTTCTGGTACGGATTTCTGTCATTATGTGGAAAGTCAATATGAAGCACATCCAGTCTTTTTTCCTTTTCTTTTATATATATATATATATATATATATATATATATATATATATATATATATATATATATAATTTATATATATATATACATATAGTATATGCAATAGTATATGTAATATATGTAATATATGTAATATATATAGTATATGTATATATATATATATATATGTAATAATATATGGTATATGTAATATATATGGTATATGTAATATATATATATTATATATATATATATAATATATATAATATATATATATATATATAATATATTATATATATGATATATATATATTATATTATATTATATATGTGTATATTATATATGTATATGTATATTTATATGTATATTATATATATATATATATATATATATATATATATATATATATATATATATATATATATATATATATATATATATATATATATATATATATATATAATGTCATATATATATAATATATTATATGAAAATGGAAAGAAGGTATTTGAAGGTCTTGATTTTATACACTATTTATTTAATGAATACTGGAGTCTTTGAGTGTATAACTTCCTAGTTTCCATAATGAATCAAAGCTAATGTAGGTGTTAGATTAATTCAACCTGTGTAATACTGTAAGTTGAATAATGAATAGCAGACTATTAGGTGTGAAATTGTCACCAATTACATATATATATGTATTTTTGATCTGATGTGCATCTGACAGACCTTTGCTTTTTAGAAAATTTATTTTTTTTTTTTTTTTTCTTTTTTTTTCTCTATATTTTTTGCCATGAATTTTGTGAAGTTACAGTGCAAAGTATGTAACTTCGTAACCCTATCATATGTAAGTTCGAATGTATGTTTGTGAACAGTGATGTTGTCATGTAGACATGCAACCAAGATAGAGTTGCAAAAGTACAATCATGAAGAGAGGCTAAATATCAAATATGTATCACAGTTTTTTTTTAGGACCAAAAATTTAGATCTGAACTTCCTCAGTTGCCAAAAAGCAAAATTGTGTCACCTATTTGATGTTTATGCTTTCATTTTGCTTCCATTATATAGAGGATAGAATAAGTGTTTAGATGTCAGATCAGCTTTTTCGGGTTATTAAAGAAAGATTGTGGCCTGTCTGGATAGGGTAATGTATTTGCTGTTGACTAGGTGAGAATATTTAGGTTAGAAGTATATTGTGATAGGGTATTATCTCATATCATGTTTTAGAAGACTGAGAATGTTGTATGTTGAATGGAACACATTTATCTTGCAAGTGTACATTATCCAACATGGTATTTCAAAGGTTGAGTTATTGCAAAATGCAAATATAGTCAGTAGATTTATTTTGTTATCAACAGAGAACAGTCTAAGCACACCTCGTCTACAATGATTATCCAATATTCTCAGAGGTTCATATTTTGAATAATCTGGATGGATGCAAATAGTGATTCCACAGAAGTGTTTGCGTGGTTTGCTAAAAGGGAGACTAAGGTATTTGAACAAGGAAAACCTTTGTTGTGAGCAAACCATTGTGTGCCCCTTTCTTTAAGTGTTGCTCCCCTAATTTTTGTTTTGGAAGTATGTGAAGAGATAAATGAACTAAAAGAAATATGTAAATGTTGCCAAAACCAAGATTTTAACAACCATTGTGAAATGATATATAATAGGAGTCTTGATTATTATTGTTAGTATATCTAATGTAGGTAAGCATGTGAATTGGATATTCCATTTTTATCATATTTTCATTATTTTTCAAAATTATTGGCATCATTCAAGTTTTCCAAGTTCTTTTTAGTCTATGCCTCTTCTCCCTCATTGATAATGAGAATAAGAATATGTTTCCAGAAATTTACAAGATGATATAACACCATATTTATGATTTATGATGATTGCTGAATTAAGAAAAACTCTTCTTATTGATTACTAATCTTTAAAAACTGGAAGCCAAAGGAAGTGGTCCGTACATTCCTTGGATTGATTCTAGTCAGGTGATAAGAATTTGTTATAAGTATAAGGTAAGATTGATGAATAGTATTTCTTCAGATATTTATGAAAACCAATAGTATCTATTATTGTAGATTTTAGAGTTAAGAAGTTGAGATAGATACATAAATTGATGATGATTGTCAGATTTTTATATATGATTTACATAATTTTATGGAATTTAAAGGTATTATGTTTTTTCTCTTTTGTATATATGGGTATTTCGGTCAGGAAAGTTTTTGTTTTTTGTTTTAATAGATACAGAACCCATACATGTAACAAAGAGGAGGGAATATAGTAAAATGATAATAAGATTTAAAGGGAGGTTCTGGGTAGGTTACGAGAAGTAGTTCGAGATTGAATGTGAAACTTTCTTTTAAGCAGGACCTGATTCTCAGCCATTTTATCCCTCCCTTTAAAATGCTTTTTAGCTGTCTCAAAAAGTGTGTGCCTCTGTAAATTCAATGTTACATGTGAAAATAAAAAAAAGTTCCATTCCTTCCTATCATGGCAACTCATTCCTGCGTATCAGCATATAAGCCAAGCATCTCCCTTTGCTGGATTAAATACCGTTATTTATTGTTGTGTCCTTTTTTTTCTTTTTGTAAGTGTATGTACTATCTGAAAAAAATATATGATGAAATTATTATATATTTTTTTTATTGTTGATCAGTAGATGGCCACTCAATATTTTGATTTGTATATGGGTGAGGGGTTATGATCAGAATATGAAGTTATTCATAGAAATATTGTTAAACAACCTTGAACACATTTAAACTGTCATACATATAGGTTTCTTAGATTAACACAGAAACACAAGAACTCACCCACTCTCATACTTAAAAACATGTTCTGACATATTTACACTCACTCTCACAAACATATTTTTCTTCCATATATTTTAGTAATTCATTTAAGCTGCCAAAAATTATGTATCAGTACCTTGATTTTATTATCACCAAGAGTTAGGTAATTGAAAAAAAAGTAATTTATTGCATGAAAGTTTATTAATGTCATTAACATTATACATAGTATGTATCTGTGGTCTTCGATGCAGCTGTTTTTTGTTTGATTTTTGTTTATCAGCAAGTAATAGAAATTGTTTTTGGTTTGGACTAATACTTGTATTTACCTTTTATAATATGCTCAATTTTCTTTCACAGAAATAATTAGTGTGTAATTAGTAATATCGTTATTCAGGGGAACTTTACTTAAGATTTTTAAAAATGTTTTTGAAGTCTCTCAGTACATGTTTAAAGACTGGGAAACTAAATTTATTGAAAATTGTGTCAAGTTTTGTCTAGTATCATCAGTAAAGTAACATGGCCGAGTATCGCATATTTTTTTCCTGAAATATAACTCTGGTAGAGATATACTTCAGATGATAAAGGATGTTTTCTGTTCTGATTTCATGCAGTTGCCTGTACTGAATAATTTAGTGATTGGATGATTGGGAATATATTCAGGAAAAAATCGTCTAATATTATCTTGTGATATTTTGTTTGGATTTTAGGAACTAATTTGCTGACCGTGGGAACAGGAAGCAGGATGTTTAGTTTTATGGTTTAACTGAATGAAGGATTAGTCCGCATTTAAAGATGAGCGAATCACAAGCTGTACTTATTACACCTGCATTTTTTTTCTGTTAGTACAGATTTATTATTCATGAGAGCATGAGGTTTCCTAAGTCAGTATACTAAGATGTGTTTTTTCTGCTATAATACCTATAGAACTTTTCCCACAAAATATTAGGGCTGATTATTTTTGCCTACCATAGATTTGCTCGTAAGTGTTTGTATGGCCATTTGATGTGGTGTACATGTTCTAAAAAAACAAAAATAAAAAAAAATAAGACCCCAAAGTTTAGCATTTAATGTTTATGGCTATACATGTGCACACCTTTGAGAGCTCAGCAATGTAGCAAAGTAATTCCATGGTAGCAGTGGCTATTGTTTCAAGTTGACAGATAATGGCAATTGGATTACCCTGATAATTTTGTTTGTCTTGCTCAAATGTATACCCTGGCCTTTAATTTTTTTTCTTACTAGTTCCCATTGCATTAGAACTATTTATTGCACAAAGGTCTTTGGTTTACTTAGTAGTATATGTTGTTGCAAAAACAAATGACGGATTTTTGTTTTTCTTTTATCTTGTATGTACACAGATATATATGCTTCAAATAAAATATCTGAGTTTTGTACCTAGCCTAATTTCAGAGCATATTGCTTACTTGTACTACTGTTTGCAAATGAAGAACCAGATGAAATTGGTGTTTTGAGTATCCTTGATTGTTTTCCAATTTTATAGTCTTTCCTATATATTAGGACAAAAGGAAACCATTTTATTGTAATCTTTTCCTTTATTACAAAAGAAATAAAAAAAGCACTTTCATTCACAATTTTTTCTTGATATAAATTAAATTAAACAAAACCTATTTTTTGTTTTCATAAATAAAAATCATATAGTTAATATCTGTAAATTTGTTATTTCCAGTTGGACAAATAAAAAAAAAGTGCTTTCTATCTAAAGTAGTGTAAAATTATGGTTGGTACCTCAGGTCCCTTTTTCCACTTCTGCACATCAAAAATAAGCATCAATTTCTCGATGAAAATCTTTTATACAAATTGCACTCCAATTAAAGGAGTAGTTAACAGGCAACATCAGTAATGAAATTCTTATGTACATTTTTAAGTTGAACTCAAACTTTCTTTACATAATTTTATATCATTCTCTTTCTTACCAACCCCATTATGAGGTGAGGGAGGGATGGGTGGAGAAAATATATTTACAAGATTTTTAAAAAGTTTCTCTGCTTCCTCTCAAACAAAGGAAATTTTTCTTAAAAAATAAATCCAGTTCTGATGGAATATGCAATATCAATGTCTTTGTATAGCATGCTTTCCATCTCACAGCCCATTCACCAGATGGTTTTATAGAAAAAGATCCTCTTTTTAACCATGTGTCTGATCATCTTCCACAAAGTCGTATGCCTCTTCTCTTGAAACACACTCCACGTGAGACACTTTGT